CTGCAAAGGGCCGGGGGGGGGCCTGGTTGGGGGGTTGATGTAGCAGGGATGGGGTGAGCTGCTGCCGCACCGCACGGCCTTGCAAGGGCTGGATGTGCCCACCTTGCACGGTGCTGCAGGTGCTGCATGCCACCCCACCTTGCTCAGCATCATGGGTGCTGGATGTGCCCCCCCCCCGCCTTGCACAGCATCGTGGGTGCTGGATGTGCTCCTTGCCAAGTGTCGTGGGTGCCTTATACCACCCACCCCGCACAGCGCTGTGGGTGCTGGATGTGCCCACCTTGCAAGGTTTTGCGAGTGCTGTGTGCCACTCACCGACACAGCATCACAAGGGGTTTCACGCCCACCTCGCCGTCAGCCCCGCACGCATCCTGGCCCAGCTCAGCACTGCAGCATAGCCCCTGTTTGAACAGACACAGACTCCAGACCTGCAGGCTCCGGCTCCAGCAACCCCAGGCACCCCACAGCAGTGCCACAAGGTCTTTACCTGGGAAAAACAAAAATATCCTTGCTCGGTACCCTGCATCACCCTCTCCCCTGTGGTTTTCCATCTCTGTCTGCCACATCCCCATCACGCTCGCTGCGGTTGAGCCTCCCGGCTCTGCCGGACGCCCCTGGCCATGGGCTGGATCGTGCCGGTTAAATGACCCCCCCAAGGTGATGGCAGCAAGTTGGTGGCAGAGGCAGGACTTCAGCACCGCTCCCGAATCCCATACGTGCGCCCTCAGGGACACGGCAGCACCTGGGGGCAGGTGCTTGGCTTTGAAGATGCCGCGGCTGGGTACGGCTGCCTCAATCCTGCTGGAAATCCAGATTTGGTGCTCTGCATCCTCCTTCGCGCTCTCACAACCGTTCTTCCAGGAACATCACATGTTCCGCAACTAATTTTAGCTCAGAATAATTGTTGCACATCCTCGGGTGTCAAAAGCCGGCAAGACGGCACCGTGCATCTGTCGAGTACCTCTGCAAGGAAACGCCTGCGTCCCTGCGGGGCAGCTGTGCCCCAGCATCGCTGGTCCCTGCTCATCTGTGAGCCCCAGCCAGGGGCTGTAAAACTCAGGGAATTAACCCAAGGAGAGGCAGAATTAGCTCAACTCGTTGCAGGTCTGGGTGGGGAAGATTTAGGACGAGAGGGTGCTTGTGATCCCCGGTGTGGGTCGCTGGGGTGAGGATGCTGGAGCATCACTGGGCTTTCTCGCCTCTGTCGTGGGGCTTGGGGGACCAGGGACGATTGGGGTGGGAGCTAAGGGGCAGGAGCAGTGGGGGTAGCGAGGTTGTGGCTGGTTGTGCCGTTGGAGACTGCCTTCGGGGTCGTTGGAGCTGGTGGGAAACTTTCAAGTCCCTGCACCTCCAGCTTGAGATGAACAGGGACACCCCAAGTCTTGGGTGAGCCTGTTTCCATAGCTGGCTTTCCAGCTTTTTCATATGAAGCCATTTATTCCCTCCCTGCCTCAGTTTCCCATCTGTGATATTGGAGGGTGACTGGAATGGGAATATCTCAACAACAGCCCCAAAACCAGTCTGTATTTTTTCCCAGAGCCAGTTATTCTGCATGAAAATGGAGGGGGTGAACTCCACCTTTCTCCTCCACCACGATTTCCCACCAGTACGAGGATTGCTCAAGGGCCCCAGGTAAATCCCGGCAGGTTCAGTCTCCCACAGACAAACAGGGACACAAGGAACAAACTACAACTGAACTATCTCAGTATTGTCTCAAAACACAAAGGTTTTTCTGTGGCAAATAATACAAGAAAAATTGACAGTCGTTAGAAAACCAATTTCCCATTGAGAAATTGCTTCTGTAGGAAATTTCCAAGCAGCCTTGTTACTATTTACCTCCTCTGCAAGTGCTTCGATGGGGACATCCATCCCCATGCTCCCGGCATCCCCCGCATGTATCCGGACCACGGCGCGGTGGGACGCAGGGATAGCTGCGGGCGAAGGCACGTCCCGGGGGCAGCAGCTTCCCAAGAAGATGCGATAGAGAAAAATTACTCAGCAGAAGTGAAGAGATTAGAGCAGGCGCTTCAGAGCATTTATTTTTAAACCCTGGTAAGAAATTGAGTTCTTCCTCTTCGAGACTCATTTCTTGTCTAGCCATAGCAATTGCAATTAGATGCATTTCAGGGGCATTAGGCAGTTAATATATTTATCAAATTATTCCCATAACTTAGCATGGCTTTAGCTGGGAACAGCTACGCCTTGCGAGAGTAAAATGAGAATTAACCGCTATTAGCTTGCACCCCCTTGAAATAATTTGGTGTTTCATCAATGATTAATAAGATGCAGGTTTTTCTAATTGTCCGGAGAAGCGACATGTTTCTTGCCAGCTGGTCACCTCCAGCAGAAGACACTCGGCCGCTCTTGAAGTCCCTGTCCCCAGGGAGACACTGTCTGGGCTGTGCTCAGGGCTCCGAGGGAGCACAGTGCGTTCGGCAGGATGAAATAAGGATGCCGGTGTAGATTGTACTCACGTAGCCCTGAACGAGCTACCTTGCTCCTGCCTAAACGAGGGAGGCACGACCGCCCGTGTGCTCTCCATCCCATCCATCAAGGCGAGCCGAGGGGGGAAATGTCCATGCCCTCCTTGTTCATATATATGGGGCAGGAAAGCCGTTCGCTATATGGCTGGTGGGTTTTTTTCTTAATGGGAGGCTTGCACATCTGCCCAGATGAGACCATCGCCCTGTGAAAACTTGGAGGTGAGGTTCCCCTTCTGCACCATGCAGCCGCAAAGCCGATGTGTTTCCCATCCAGGGAGAGGTGGGAATGCTGTTGGCAGTGAGCCGGGCACGGGGGGCATCCCCACAGCACCTGGCATACACGAGTGCAGGGCACAGGGTGAGCCATGGGCTGCCACCGGCTGCATCTCATATCTCCCCTCTCATGCTTGCAGACTGGGAACCGATGGGAAAAGGTGGTCAGATGGATCCAAAAAAAAAAAAGGTCAATGGACAGGGACATAAGCCCCTTGGTGGGGTTAGAGTGACTGCGTGCCCAGGGCAGGAATGGTACCGTGGAGCAACGCGGGCTGCTTTCAAGTGAGGCTGTGAGCTGCTGCATCCTCTGCACCCCTGGGGCTGCAGAACTATCGCAAGTCCTTTCACCTGTAACACATACACACTCTTCTCCATGCGTGGCCCCAAGCAAGCAGGGTGCCCGCCAGCGGCAGGGGATGCAGAGAACTGTGGGTGCTAAAGGAGCAGCTGCTGTTGACCCTGTTTGAATCAGCTGGAAGTGAGAGCCACGGTGGTGCTGGGTGGTTTCTAAAAGGGTTGGTAGCCCTTGGGTTATCAGCAGTGGAGAAACACAACCTTAGTGCAGAATGCCTCTGGCTTGACAACACTGGCAGCTGATGCCAAAGCATCTCCTGTGCCGGGCTGCAGCCGCCCACACCGCGCGGCTCTGCGGATGCTGGGGGTGACAGCAGGTTTTACACCGTAAAACCAACGATGCCTTTCCTCTTGGTCTAATAGCAGAAGCTATTTATTGTGCTACACCACTGCTGTCCTGATCTTGCCTCGCGGTTCCCTTGTCATCCAACACTCTCAGCCCTATTCTTTGACATGAAAAACCTGGTGGGCGCCCACAGAATAGAAATAATCCTGTTGCATTTCTGTCTCCCTCTCTTTTTTCTCTTAACGACCACACAAAAAGGGCTCGAATGCCAGAGACCGAAGCGCCAGAACTCGAGCGATGACATTGAGGTCCTCTCCACCGGGACACCTCTCCAACAAGAGAGCCCCGAGTTGTACCGCAAAGGGACCACTCCGTCCGACCTGACTCCCGATGACAGCCCCCTGCAGAGCTTCCCTGCCAGTCCCTCCTCCACGCCGCCCCTGGGTCCTTCCTGCAGGAACAAGAGCGCTCACTTCTCCAGGCAGGTTTCGATGGATGAAGAGAGGGGTGGGGAGATCCAGATGTTGCTGGAGGGACGCGGCGGGGATTACTTGCGACCCAACAGCTGGAACGAAGAGAAGGTCGGCGGGACTCGCGGTGTGAGAAGCGGGACGCTGCGGAGCGGTCAGCTGGGGTCAGCATCCATCCCTGAAGACTACAGAGGTCGGAGCGGAGGACACAAACATTCGGCCTCCAACCATAAGCAAAGAGAGAGGTGGACAGATTCCCCAGCCACGGTTTCATGGACTTCCCACCACAGGTCCCACAACCACAGCTCAGGGAGCTCCAAACTGCTTGAGCTAGATGAGGAGAAGATGAGCAATTACGAGATGGAGATGAAGCCCCTCATGAGGATGGATTCTTATATGCAAGAGATTCACACCCAAAAAAGACACTACAGCAAAGGGGGACCCTGCAGGAGCATGGCTGACGACCACCGCGGGGAAGACCGGGGCTTCGGGGTTCAGAGACTGAGGTCTAAGTCCCAGAACAAAGAGAATTTCAGGCCAGCTTCCTCTGCCGAGCCCACGGTGCAGAAACTGGAAAACCTGAGATTCGGGGACAAAGCTGAACCTCGGCTACTAAGGTGGGACTTAACCTTCTCCCCGCCACAGAAATCTTTACCTGTTGCACTAGAATCTGAAGAGGACAATGGGGATGCGCTCAAATCCAGTACGGTAAGTAGGCGGAATTGTGTGCTGAAATCTGGTGGAGAGAGAAACCCGGTGCTGGGCTGTCGTGGTAACGGAAGGGGAGGTTACTTTCCCGGCAGAGCCGACCCCCGAATTATCGTGGGTTTGTGCCTTGAATTCCCCCTCCTCCCTTCTCCCATCCTGCACGACGACGTGTGCTGGGACTTGGCGTGGGGTTTTCTCTGCAGATGATCTTGGTGGGAATTGCAGGTTTTTCACAGGAGGATGTGAGCAGCCAGTTTGAGTTCGTTTCACAACCCAGCCCCGGGATCAGCAATAAAAATCCGTTATTGCTGGGATTTTGAGTATTCACCTGGTGGAAAAGCTGCAGGAGTAGGCAAGGTGTTGGTGATGCTTCTCTGTGGTTCGGTTACGGCAACAGAACTTCCTGCCGGCCCGAGAGCGTGGTGTGATCCTGTCGTGACATCGGTGCTTAAATCCTGGTCGCTGGGCGTTGCGTCAACCTGCCGCGGCTCGCCGTCACTCTGCCGCCGTGTGATGGCACTGCCTGGCGAAGCAGTGGCCTTGTCACCGTGTTGTACTGGAGTCCTGACCCCGGTCGGAGGAGGGAAGCGTGGTCGTGGAGCAGGGGACATTGCCAAGGGGTTGCGCTCCTGAGCTGAGCAGGGCTGAGGTTTTTCCCGTAGCGATCGGCACGATGCAGAACAGCTCAGGTGTTTGGGGGTGGGGATGCTGCTGAGCCGGGAAGGGGGTACAAGGCTCGTAGCGGGGGGATGCGATGCAAAAGGGGCTCGGCAAACTGCAGACAAGAGGATCCCTGGGCAGGGAAAGCAACGGGCAAGTACAGCAAAGGCAGTGGGCTATTAGAGCCCTGCAGATCAGGGGGTACAGCAGATTACGGTCAAACGATACTATCACTGTACTGTGAAGAGCACAAGTATGCTGGCTAAGCAGGAGGATAGCTTGTGGGACTGGGCAGGTAACCCCTTGGGAGACATCCAGGCCCGGGCTCCTCGTTTTGGGAGAGACACGGACAGGTTGGGCATTAACAGCTGGGTGCTGGGGAGAGCTGGAGGTGTTCAGGTTGGAGGAGAGGAGACAGAGCGATCTTCAAACACGTAAAACAGCTCCTGCAAAGTGGAAGAGAATAATCTGTTCTCGATGAACAGAATTAAGGGGCTTAAATTCAAGCATTAGAGGCAGCGGTTAGCCGTTCGCCATTCCTAGTGAGTTGGGGGCCGTAATAAATTGTGTGGGGAGGCCGTGGGGACTGGAAGGGAGGAGGTGGTCTGAGACCACGTTGGACATCGGCAGCTCAGATACAACTCGGCCAGAGCTGAACCTGCCCTGGGAGAAGGCTGAGCTGTGGGATTTTTCAGGTCCTTTCCAGCCCCGGTTTTTGATGATTCCCGGACTTACCATCGGGAGCAGCTTCGTCCCTCGTTCTAGGCATTGCTAGGAGAGGTGATGGGGGTCTGATGGGAGCGGTGGGGGAGCCCCCATCGCTTCAAATTGCCCCTTGTCGAGTCAGTGCCAAGACAGGGCAGGGCAGGAGGGGTCCCATGTCACAGCCCAGGCCAGACCTACACAGGAGAAAGAGAAAACCTGTAGCTCTCAGGTGGTGACATTTCAGGCTCTGGCAGAAGAAAGGAGCTAAATCTCCCTGGCAGGGCAGCGGAAGATGATGCTTGGTTGTTTGGGAGACAGGGATCAGGAAACTGAAATTTGTCAGTCACACCAAAAGTTTGGGCTAGAGGCATCACGGTCTGTAATGTCTGATTACCGTTACCATACCTACAGCATCCCTGCTCCTCCGGCCGCCAGCTCTGCCAGCACCGGCAGCCAAGGGATGAGAGCGAAGGGGTGGGAGAGAGGAGGGAGCTCCGACATCTGCAGCCCGGGAGCAGCCGGGATGCAGGAAGGACCAAACTACAGCTCTGCCACAGTTTCCCTGCTGTGACTGTGGATAAATCACCCCCCACACAGAGCCCTGCAGCTTTCTGGCATCCTATTCATCTTGCAAGCTTCGGCGCAGGCTCGAAAGCACCCACACAGCATTTAAGGAGAGCTGAACAGTGTGTTTGCTGGTGGACTGCACCGTAGGACACATCTTGCCAGTCGAGAAAAAAAAAAGAGAGCCCCAAGTGAAGGCAGCCCTGAGCACAGAGCCCTGAGGAAAGATGGGGTCAGCCCGGGCCGTCCTCACCTGCCAGCGGAGCTGCCCGAGAAGCTCCGGAGAAACGACGGGCAGCATTAGGAGCCTGACAGGCATCCAGAGGGGAAAAGCAGCAGCAGTAATTGCGCGGACATCAACCCTATTGAAGTCTATGGGACCCGCAAAGTGGTCCAGCACCTTTGCTAACGTGACCTCAGGCGGTGGCAGGGAGCTGGGAGAGACCTGGGTCCCGAAGGAGGAATGAAACCACCATTTCTCCTCGCTGAGAGCCAGGCGTTCCTCGGGGAAATCGCCGGCACAAGCAGTCCCGGTGTCTGTCCCCACCCAGCCCAAGCTGGATGTGCTGCCGAGGTTCCCACCTGGCAGGCAGACCCCAGACCCATCACACATAAACCTCCCGCCCCGAGGAGGAGGGCTTGGGCTGCAACGCTGGAGGTAAATAGCCACTAATGCAACAGAACATTAATGGCTATTTCGAGTGAATCCCCGGCACTAAGGGAGGGGCACAGCCTGCGTGTAAAGGCGCACAGAAAAGCCATTAGGATGCACATCATACTTTTAAAGTGCTGTAGCTGTGAAGCAGCATGTTCAGTTTTCTCACATTCATAACCGAGGGTGGAACAGATGGCGAAGGTTTGGGAGGAAGCTAACGTAATACAGAGGAAGAGATAATATGTGGATTTAAATAACCTACAATGCCAGCAACAATTTGTTCTAGCAAGAATTGCACTGTGCTGGCAGGGTTTCGTTCCAGTGGCCTGGCAGGGAATGGGGTGGTCGGGCAGGAGCAGGGGAAGGAGATGCAGGAGAGGAATGGGAGGTGCGGTGATTTGTGTTCCAACCTCCTGCCTAACACCGTAACCTTGCCTGCACCTGCCATCAAGGATCCTGCCCTGAGGAAGAGGAGGGCAAGGCTAAAGGGGAAGGATTTATCCCACAGTCTCCGAACCCACGGCATGCTCAGTGACGCAGGGCACTCACATGCTTAGTCCAGCAAAAAAACCACAGCATCTGCTCATGCCCCAGATCTTTTCACACAGAATTAAGGCTCCCCAACTTCCCCAAAGCCCCATTTCTCATGTCAGCCTGCAATATCCCCGTCGGACTCCCAGCAGCTCGCCTCCAGCGTACAGGCGAACCGCAGCTCCCGGGAAAGGCTGGCTGTGCGCACGCGTGTGCGTGCACGCGTGTGTGCCCACGCCGTTTCAGCTTGCGTGACAGCCTGCTTCCCTGGGATCCACAGCACTGCCATCTGTGAAGCTGCTCACCAAAAAGGGCATTTCTCATCTCCCAGACAGCTGGGCTATTTCAGAAAGGTGCCTGCCAATGCACGGGAAGGATGCTCTTAGCTGAGTAGGGCTATTTTTGCCCTACCTGGAGTATCCCTGTGCAGAACTGAGGTCACTCTCATGGGTTAGCTTGTTTTAAAAATAATCTGCCATAAACCAGCTCTACACATGCCATCGATGAGCCCGGTGGGTTGGCTCTGCTTTGGAGGGCCAGCTCCGGCTTCGAGAGCAAGCACACCTCTGGCAATGCTCGGGGGAACGGGGTGGGGATGCAGGTCTTGCAGAAACAGGGTCTTAAAATGATCACTGCTCTTGATTTCTGTCTTAAAATCAAAGCTGGACCAGCTGGGGGTCATTGGGTCCCTTAGTGTCCAACCTTTTGCAGTGTGTGCCCGGGGGGGATGCAGACCTCTGTAGAGGAGTCAGACTTAGAGGTTGTTATATGAGCTATGGGAACTTTGTTCTTCTCGGTTATTTTTTGCCAGGCCCTTAAAAAGAGGCTCCCAGAACTCCCCTTCATTGGGGCTGCACATCAGTAATTGAGAACTGCTCTTATAAAGGTCATTTCTTGAGGCCACCGCTCAATAACATTGATGAAATTCAGCACTGCTTGGTGTTCGCTATCAGGGGACTTTGGGGTTTCAGGGTCATCAAGCCAGCGCTACAGTCATGCAAACGCTTTAAAATTACATTTAAAGCCTCCTGATCTTTCTGTGTCTCTGTGTGCACTGACCCCTGCATGCACAGAACAAACTCACATCAATTGTCATCGCTCCGGCAGATGAAAATGGAAACCAACGTGCCAGGACCGGTGTCGGTGTTGTCGGATTAAGGGACTTATGTGAACGCCACCGTCCTTTCTGGCCTTAAAGGCCCACGAGGTGCAAAGCTCAAGCCTGTGCCTGAATGCTTCACAGGTTCCTCGAGCCTTTGAGAAGATCTAAAATGGGAAAGAAAGGAATTGTTGAGACACTGGAAAAGGAAAGAGGCTTTCTAAAATGCCGGCAACCCTTTAATCCATCGGCACAAAACACATCACATTTTTAGGGTTGGGGGGGAACAAAAAAGGGTACATCTCCTTTTCTGCAGGTGCTGAACATCTGCAGCTTCTAAAAGGGAAAAGAAGTGTTTTGGGCACAGAGGGCCTCAGCATGCCTGCAAGAAGGGCCAGTGTTCAGGCACGAACGGAGCCTGATTCATCCTCCTGTCCTCATTTAGCAGGAGCATTCACGGGCATTTAGATGAAGACTTCTAGGGACACGTTGTGGTCTCACTGAAGGCACGCTGGAGATGCGAGTAGGCTCGAGACTTGGTCCTTTAAAATCCCCCTGTCTCATCTCATCGAGAAAGCCCGATGATAGGGCAGCAGCCAAAAAAAAACCCCACCCCAGCCACCCCTGACATTTTCTTCCGTTGTCACATACTGTCGGATAAAATCTCAGCAGTCTCAGCTGTTTGCCAACGGTACTGCCGCTTACTGCAAACAAAGCAGGGGAAACAGTTGCAGCAAATGGAGTTTGCAAGGCATCTGCTGGGTTTAGGGATTGCAGAGAGACCCC